ACCTTTGTAATAGTAACTGGTTGCAATGACTAACAAGAAATAAATGTTATTTTTAGATGATAGATATGGTATTGCCTTTATATTGATCTTATAAATATAAATGAAAGAAGTGGGTAGGGGAACTACAGGTTATTTCATACATCACAATGACATTTTTCATATGTAAATAGTGTAAATATAGGGAAGAGTTCTATTGGTATTAGTATTTAATGATTTTAATGATGTAATATATGTATAGGAAATAAATTTTTTTTTATAAATAAAAATAATTTTACTTTATAACTAATTAATCATCAATAAAATCTATAAAATTTAATTGTATACAAAAGTTGGTTGGTCATATTTAACAAAAATGTGTAGAGATTATTGAGATCTATGGATTTTATTAAGTATCTTAACCCCGTAGATCTTTATATAAAATCATTGCAGATCTTTCCCTCTTAAAAGGATTGCGAATTAATCAATACAACCATGGAAACTGCCTCAAAAACCTGAAAGCCCAGAACTAATAACTTTACCTCGATTTTGGACCTGATCCTAAAAAAATATAGCTTGTCCACTGAATCTAGCCCATCTCAATTACATAATATGCTAGTGAACTCAGTGCTATGCTTCCAGGTTGGAAACCTGCAAAAGCATAAAAGAAGCACTTTGCTGACGATTATTCAAAGAAGATCAGATCAAGGCTCTTGTACTGGATAAAAGGAATGAAAAACTTACTATTAGGGAAAGAGCTCAACACTGTGCAAAATCTGGAAATCCATATGATATTTACTTACATGCTTTAGATTTAATCAAGACAAAAACAATATGATGAAGAAATTGTTGCATCCAGCTCATGCCTTACATTATTCTGTATAGAACAAAAGCTTCGAGGTATGCTAATTTATGCAACCTTATTTACAAAAGGCGTTATATTCTTGTGCTGAAGAAATATGGAAATGACTAATCTTTCCTTTATCTTTTCTATTTTATCATTCTCACAGCTGGACCCAGAGTTGTTGAATTTTGGAAAATACTTCTCAATGCAAAAATAATCATCCTGATACCACAAGATATGGAAGAAGATGAATTAAATGGTTTAGAATCTTATTATATGATTGAAAATAATCATGTTTGTCTAAACAATGGTGTGATTACTGACTTAGATGGTATTCTATACAACAATGGAGAGATAACTGATTTGCAATTGCCATAAAAACTGATGGATAACTTTGGAGGAATGTTGTGCTTACCAGATGGCGTGTTCTTTCTTGGACAGGAGTACAAATATGGATCAAAACTTCTCATACGAAATTGCTATTTGCAGTTGCTTGAACTAATTGAGAAGAATCGTAAACCAAGCCTCTCAGCTCATACTGGTTGCACAATTACTGGTACACCTGGTATTGGAAAGACATACTTTGGATTATTTATTCTCTTCTACATTCGTTACAGATATCCTAAAGCCACAATAATTTGGAGGGGAGATGAAAATAATTGCTATCAATTCTTGTCTGAAGGTGATGTCCAAAAGAGGGATTTCCACCAGTTTAGCAAAACATTGGATAATGCTGAAAACTTCTACATTGCTAATGCACATGTTATGACATGGCGTTCAGCCTATAAAATCCTGCTCACATCACCAATGGTAGAAAGATTCAATGAAGCTGTCAAATGGCCAGGTTTCACTCAATATTTCATGCCAGTTTGGATGCTTGAAGAAATTACTGCACTTTGGACCACTCAATATAAGAACAGGAAGAATGAAAAAGGTGAAGAATTTACATTTGAATTAGTTGGGTCCTTGCTAGACAAGTGGGGCCCAATACTCAGGTCAGTTCTTTTAAAGTGGGATGATGAGACATATCAGCAGAATACTATAATCTGATTGCTGAAGCTGATTTGGTAAGCTGTGTGAACTCCATTAATAAGGCAGGCATGCCCACAGTTACCATTAGTGGTAGACTTGTACATCTTGATGTGGATTCAACAATTATAAAAGTCATGTATCATTTTGCTTCTCCAATGATATCTAACATAATGATCCAGGCATATGAAACTAAAAGAAGCTTCGTGATTTCATAATGAGCAGTCATGAAGATCCAATGGTTGCTGGGTTTTGAGGCAATCTTTTTGAAGAACTTGCCCATCTGGAGTTGCAAAAGGGCGGTACTTTTAGGATATGGTGCCTGAACCCTATAAAAAATTTTTTTACAGAAAGTCCTAGAAAATGTAAGGAACTGCGGGATGTGTAAGGAAAGTCCTACAAAATGCAAGGAAATTCGCATTTTTCCGTACATGAAAAAAATTACAGAATGTAAGGAAAAATGCGAATTTCCTTGCATTTTGTAGGACTTTCCTTACACATCCCGCAGTTCCTTACATTTTGTAGGACTTTCCGTAAAAAATTTTTTATAGGGGAATAATAATAACTTAGAGGCTACAGAACAATATATCAAGGAGTCAGAGTGTAATTGGTTCATGACACTGAATGAGGCATGTAAAGAATATTATAACAGGCCAAAATCAAAGACATTTGCATCAATTGATTCTTTCAGCCTTGATAACAATACTTCGGCCTTGTACCAAATCACTGTCTCAACAGATCACAGCATAAAGGTAGGTGACAATAGACATAATTGAATTTATAATTTGTCAGCTATCACTTGTATCACTAACTCAGATTCCATAGGTGAAAGGACTTAATGACCTTGACCGTTTTCTCATGTGGAAAAGAGATGTGGATAACATTGATCTATACTTCGTCATGCCATCAGACATCTTTGAAGAATTTTCCTTTCAAAAATACAAGACTGTCAAAGATCAGGGCTATCAGAAAATTCCGAAACAGATTAACAACATAAACCAATATGCATTGGAAGTAGCAATAAGGAGATTGTGAAAACAGAGAATGAATTAGATAAGAAGATAGTTTAATCATGTGTGGGTTGATGAGATGTATTCTAATAATGAAGTTGAAATTTGCATTATATTTTTGCATGCTTTTCGAAGTATTTATTTATATGTCTGCTAAAAATGGTGTTACTTTTATTTCACATTTGAGTCCAAGGGTTGTGCTTTGTGATAATTCATTAAAAAGTTTAGGGATTTTGATTTTCATTATTTCTTTACAGGGCAAAGACAAAATAATAAAAACATTTGAAATTTCTGAGAGTGCTGACCAATCTTGCTCAGGTGCAATAGTTCTAAAGTATCCCTAACCCACGATATACTTTTATTTTGTTGTATCAATAAAGCTGACCCCAGGGTCGATTTTGCATACATAATTACATTTTGCATGTTGTAAAATAGTAAATTATAAATCACGGGAAACGAACATATAAATCAGAAATGATTTACATGTATCACGAAGTGAAAATTTGAAAGCAATTATCACGGAATAACTCAACAAGAAAAGTTACAATAATTAATAAAGTGCACCAATGAAATAAATAGCTCTCGGAAAATAACCCAAATATTGGAGATATAAATATTCTAACATTCTAAAGTGTAACGGACAACAAAATCTCAGAATAAT